TATGAGTATGACTATGAGCGCTACTACTCCATAATTATATCTTGCTGAGTACGTGGCCAAGATGTTTATTACGATGACAATTAACAATAATATAATTAATTATTATTAATTAATGATTCCGGATGTCACTGACACTGTAAATTGTAATGTGCAATTTTGTGCATCGCCATCAGTGCATGATAATGATTCTAACATTCACATATGACACATTGACGATTGAGCAATGAGTAATCGTCGTGATTAATAATAATACCAATAGTAATAGTAATACTAATAGCCGTATTTTCACTTACAACCTTATTATAAAGGCAATTGTACTTATAAGTATCCTTTAAATTGCACACTAGCGTTCTTAGAAGGAAATGCGGTATTTACCATATTATACTTATAGAACACAATCATGAGAAAACAACCATTGGAAAATTTTGTCCACCCATCCGGCCACGACGTTCTATTATTTATATCAATTTGCCTTCTGGGATTCTACATCCTGGTAATTTCATCATGGCAGCACCATAACTTATTCTTTTGAGTGAATCTTCTGTTGAGCTTTTCTGTAAGCGAATATTCTGTTGAGCTGAAAATAGGCACTGGTATTTATACTAGGCAATGAAATGGTAATACTTCTGGCGGAATTATGCAGCACCATAATATTAATTATGATATTTACCGGATTCCATATACTAGTGTAGCGTTTTTGGCGTCTCTCTGCGCCACCTGAGGGCGCCACCTGTCGACACGTAGTGACTACTCGCAGCCTGAGCTAGGGCCTGCATACCTCCCAAATCCCATTGGTTGATACAGATCACGTGCCTGAAACTCCTGTTTTAATAATTCCTTTTATGGTGCATTGTGACCCTAACCCTAACCCTAACCCTAACCCTAATCCTAACCCTAACCCTAACCCTAATCCTAACCCTAACACTACTAGGTACGGTCCGGTATACCGGAACGTACCCTGGTACTATATTATATGCTGGACCGTACCTAGCCTACTCCACTAACGAGTCTAGGGAGTCGCCTACGCCTACTCCCTAACCCTAACTCGAACCTGAACCCTAAACCTAACCCTAACCCTAATCCTAACCCTAACCATATCAAATAGTGACCAGGGTACGTTCTGGTATACCGGACCGTACCCAGGGTACGTTCCGGCAGTACCCTGGGGGACATAGACCCTATGAGCATTAGTATTACTGGCAATTTACTGCGTTCGATTTAATTGCTTTGCCAGAGCCACCTGGGACGTTAACCTGGGTAAGAAATCGAACGCATCTGGGTTAGGGAAGATAAACGAACGGTTTTTGGGTTAACCCGGGTTAATTATCATCATGGATGCCAGTGACAAGAAAAAAAGAATAGCAATTGCAATCTTATTATTAATGAAATCTAAGATTAGAATGAGCAAACACACGCAGTCATCGACAGTCATGCTTCATTACTGCTTGAAGATTTTTGAAGATTTTGAAGATTTCGTTGCAATGAATTCTGGGATACTTCCCCAAGTGAGTGGCTCGGCTAGCGGGTTACTTGGGCCTCACCCGGTTAACGCAAAAATACCACGTGACTGCCAAATCGAACGTATTTGGGGTTGGGCCGAGTAGACCCAGGTTAACTTGGGGAAGCAAATCGAACGCACTATATATATTATAATTGTCATGTCCACTCGTCACCTAGGTCCTAACCGTTAACGATCGGATAATCTCTGTAGTGTAGCCTGTTTCGTGGCAGTTGTGCAATGCTTGCTAATGCAGACCGCACATGTGTTATTTTAGTTATTAATATCACTAGTGAAAACACATGATGGTTTCGTTTTTGTACCTGCATACATGTATAATTTGAGCGCTTAATTAATCAAAGTATGTCTATTTATAAATTGTATTGCTAAAGATAGAGGGAGAGAGCAAGAGTGTTAAAGAGAGAGAGAGAGAGAGAGAGAGAGAGAGAGAGAGAGAGGGGTGTACAGAGGCAGACACAGAGAGAGAGGGAGGTTCAGAGACAGAGAGTCAGAGATAGATAGAGAGAGACGTACAGAGACGGACAGACCCAGAGAGAACCCTACAGAAATAGACAGAGGTAGAGAGAGGGAAGAGAGAGAACAAGTGAGACAGGGAAAGAAAGAATGATGGAGAGCAAGAGAGTCTCAAGAGAGAGAGAGAGAGCGAAAGAGAGAGCGAGCAAGAAAGAGAAAGGGAAAGAGAGAGGGGGAGAACAAGTGAGGGAAGGGGAAAGGAAGAAAGAGGGAGAGGGAGAGATCTTGCTGACAATGCACTTAATTTGTTATATATATATGTTAACTTTTGGTTTACAGGATATGTCACATCACATGCTTTATCTGGTGCTTTGCGTACCTGGCATTTTTCCGATGCACCGAATATTTTGGTCTGCCAAAGGTTCCACCATTAGCGAACGCTGTTCAACTAATCTTGACTCTTAAGGTAGGAATAATTTGTGCTAGAAGCATTATGCAGTATGCATTCCATTGACATATATCTGTGTCAAAGTTTTTAATAGATAACTTATACAAATAAATATCCATTTCTTTGTTACCAAAACCCAATAAAAATAAATATTATATATAGCAAAATGTGCTTGTCAGTGCAGTCAAGGGTAATATGGAGTAAATGAAGAGACTGTGTCAGTGCAAGTCACTTCACAGTGCTTTGGAATGGGCTTATTCTGCTAGCTGGACTAGAGGAGCTAGCTAGCTACATCTGAGATCTGCCAAGACATAAATGCCTGAATAAAATATATAGACTTAGCTCCTTTATGTTTCAGAGCATCGGATTGGCATTTGAAATAGTGGATACCGATCACAATAAGAAGTCTATCAAGGATGCCACATTTGATAAAGACAAGAAGCTTAAAGCAAAATTCACTGACATTAACCCCTCCAGCTTAGACATTGTCTTATATAGCTACTGTATTCTTGGTATATTCACAGGTAAGCAACCAGAAGCCCAAATTTTATTACCACAAAGATTGTACTTCTGTATATCAATTCTGTTTTCGTTTCTTTTCTGTGTACATCAGAAACCAATGTGTGGTAAGTGCTATATTTGTCTTTCAAAACTAGGTCCTTTCTACAAATATCGTGTGTACCATGACATGTTACATGCAAAGTATTTGGAGAATTTCGATCCACTGAAGTACATGGGAAAACGAATCAAGGCTCTTCCGCTATACGTCCTCATCTACTTAGTGCTGAATGAGACATACACTGTGCAGGTAATGTTACTTACATCAAATACGGCCTGCAAAATATATTTGCATTGGTGATATATTCAATCCAAGTATCCCTGCTGTATACTAGAGGTATGTGCTCTCTGAATGAAGGTCGAAATGATATACCATACATAAGGACTTTATAACTTAAATTTGTCGATGAAATCGCATCAGGATCATAGGCATATGAGGACCAAACTGTCTGTGTGTATATATATATATATCAGGCGAGTTCATGTGATATAGGGCTAGTACTAGTATGTTCATTGTACAATCTACAGCTAGCACTGCAGCTTCATAATTCGATATAGAACTTTTTAATAAGTTAAAGCTACGAGGCAGTGCCAGTGTACCCCTATATCATTCCATCGTTACTTCTATTTTGCAGTATGCTACTACGGATGAGTTCTTTGCCCGATCCTTCCTGTATCGCATCTTCTACATGTGCCCCATGTTTCTGGTGTTTCGCATGCGGATGTACGTTGGCTGGATCCTAGCCGAGAGTAGTTGCATGTGTGCCGGACTAGGAGCGTACCCGACCGTCGCAAAGACGCGCCCCGGACACGGCCCGATGGATTACGCAGCCCTCGAGGAGCAACTGTGAGTTGGGTTCAGTGGCGTAATTGCATATGTGCATGCGATGCGATGTGGAGATGTGGATATTTGCCCGCCATTGATGCCTGTAACAATTGCCAGCGTGCAGTCAAGTTCTCGATCTGCCACATTATCGAATAACATGTGGTCAGACACACGCACATATTTGGCCAAGTAACTGATTTGTTACGTACGTCATATGTGTGTAACACGCATTTAATTGTTATTTTTGACAGGTTTCTGCATTTTTGCATTTTTAGTCGGGTGAATTCAGATCCGTCGATCGTCTGTTTGTTTTCAGGGAGCGTACGTCAGTGGACGACATGCAGATAGATTTTGAGACAGTGCACAACATCGATGCATACATGTGCGAGTCTGTCTCAACGGTTCGTGAGGGCATGAGGGGTTGGAATATGAGCGTTCAGTACTGGCTTGCCTTCTTCATCTACAAACGAGTACCGGTGAAGTCGATACGGTAAGCTGCCACGCGTGTCTGGTTCAAAGTGCATTAAGCCAGAAAACAAAAATACAAATCGGGTTTTCAAGCCCTATCTCGTCAAGCCGACTGTGCCTCCACTAATTCTCTGCTTTTTTTTTGACTGCACTATAATTTGTGTATCATAGAAGATTCATTAGGAAATTTCACAGAACCTACTATAGGCCAGTCTTTGCCACTACGTAAACAGGGCTACGCATAGCATGCTACCAGTTTGGCAGTGTCTCGACTTGAGTCTATGCGTTTCTGTTCTAGTTTGAGCGTGACGATGTTAGTTAGTGCGTTCTGGCACGGCATACATCCCGGCTACTACCTGAGCTTCTTGACTGTCCCGCCGACGCTATTCGGAGAGCAGATGATGGATGCAGCATTTCGACGCAACGCTAGCGCCCCCGTGCAGCGGGCCTACGACTGGGTGATGTGGTTCTTCCGCATGCGAGCATTCGAGTATATGTGCATGGGATTCTTGCTGCTGCGGTTCGACCGCACGATTGCCTACTGGTCAAGCATATACTTTGCCCAGCATATTGTGATCATATTGTTCATTACCGTCGGATACCTTGTCAAGCAAAGGACAGCGCCAAAAACCTCTGCATCCATTGCAAGTTCTAGTGAGATTAGGACGGACTCCAAGAAAATCGAATAATTTAACACTTGCTACAAAGTCTTTTTGATGGATAAATGTTGCTAGTCATGTGTGCGATAAATTAATTTTCCCAGGTGATAACATGTTGAAAACTTTTGGATTTAAATATGTAGCCATCTACTTTCCTTTTTGGCACATTAATGCGTATTGTTATTTCAGTAAGTAAATTAGGTGCATGGTAGAGCTGCTACTGAATTTAGTAAAGTCATTTTTTGTTTTATTTACATGCAAACATAAGTATTTAGTACTTATATTATATATTATATATTATAGTACCATTCTACTAAACGTTAATTATTATAATTTTTAGCTTATCTGACATGATAGTCAGATGCTGCTTGTAGAATCGCATGAGCGTGCGTCCGTGCGTCCGGCTGTGCGTCCGTCAACAGTTGGGCACAAATCTAAACGGCTCGACATACGGATTCGAAAGTCGGGACGTGGGGGGGTAATCCGAAAACGAGTTGGGATGTCGAAGGTGAGGGTCAAAGGTCAAGAGGTGTAAAAGAAGGGAACATTCCCTCCTTAACTTAAGGTATAGGGAGGAAATGCAGAATTGCGGCACAAATCTAAACAGCTCGACCAAGGCTCGTGATAGTCGGTGTATAGCATCATGCTAGGAAAAGCCATCACTGTGCCGAAATTGGAGGTCACAGGTCAAAGGTCAATGGGGCACAGGGCAGATTTTAGACATTTTCTGATGACATGGTCTGACGGAGCGATTGAAAAACTTTTTTGTTTCAGCGGTAACCTACTATTTTTATGGCTTTATTGAAAGGACCATGAAATGTGCTTTCCACTGACGTGCGAAGAGTAAGTGTCTGATAACCTTTTGACCCTCAAGAAGAGGGTTAAACATGGACTGACCTTTGTTGACTGTTCACAAAGGACTGAACTGTGTTTGATGGTACTTGTGTGATCGTGGAAGACTTAAATTTCACAGCGAAATTCTGCATGCAAAACGTACTTGAACAACGTTTACGCGCTTTAAATCATATATGAACTTCATTCTCTATATGAGATTCTGTACGTTGGGAATACGTCGATAGCGCTTACGCAAACGTCTGTTTTAACCCAACTATAAATAGTATTAACTCGCAGGTGGGTGGCTGATAGCATGGCTGATAGTATCACAGCATGGGCTGAACGTAGACTGGTACTCGCTCCCACCTCGATTACTCGCCCCATCGAGTAACTAAGCCGAGAGGTGGTACCGGGTACCAGTCTACGTAATACGATGCAGTATGCACGCCATCTATCGGAACAGAGTAAGAAGAATGTTCCGGCAGGATAGGTCAAATGTATATTGCGCTCAAAAGTGCAGAAAGAATTACTTTCTTAACTTCAGTTTAATCAATCTTGAGATAAGTAATTGCAGAATTGAATCGTCAAACCTACCAATGAAAGGTTGGCCAACTACCGAAATTTGCCTGTTTTGTACTGTCCTTGGGATGGCTCTTTCCGTCGACGTTACAGTAGTGTGCAATGTCGGGATATGGTGGAGCCTGCTGGCTTGTGGGGGCTGCAGAGCCCGATGGTTGACTGTCAGTCGAATTGTGTTGATCCTCCCCGACATTGAAGAAATCTGTACGTTATACGTGCGTCTGCCTTACCTCTGCCCGCCATCTTCGTCGAAAGTTTGGACACCGCACGGCGAAATCGGAATGTACATTTCAATCGATGACGTAACTGATACAGTAGCGTGCCGCGTGGGTGTTATTTGTTTATAAACAATTTAGTCTGACTGACTCTCTCCCTCTCTCTCCTCTCGCTCGATCTCTCTCTCTCTCTCTTTCTCTCGCCCCCTCTCTCTCTTCCTCTCTCTCGCTCTCTCTCTCTGCAATAAAAAAAATGTTTGCTGAAAAAGATGCGCAACTGCGTATCTGCATATCTGTGCCTAACAAAGGTGTCACTACGCACGACTGAAATGTTACATTTATAACCATAGCAACAGACCTCAGATGAGCCCAGACGTTCTGCGGCTCTTGTTAAATATTAATAGCGTTTTGCCACATTATTGACAGTTGAACATAATGTTCAGCAGAATAATCTGTGACTAACTTTTGTAGTGTTTATTCTCACCCTACGTTTTGCTATGTATACTATTTTCTCAACCATCTCTCCCATTCTTATAGTCTAATGTGTCTACTTTAACCCAATTCTCTGAGATTCTAGTGCTTACACAATTTAGTGGTGTTAGGAATTGTCTGGTAAATATGTATGTAATCTCTTGTAATCCCACTAGGTGATGAGGTTCACGATACATTTTAGGATGAGAAACTTCCTGTCTGACTCAGCTCTGCATCCTGTACACACCTGTTGTTACTATAGCATTAATGGATGGATATTTATATATACATCCGTTCATGATACCGGCATACACTATAGCATTTTCTCTTTCCTTCTAGCCTTCATACTTAAAAAGTTTAAATATGAGCACTGGTTTTCATTACTTTATGTTAGTTTGCCATTTTAGTTTGGCATGAATGCTATTTAAATGGTGAATTAAAAAGAAATAGGTGTAATTGAACGGATGTCAAACTTAATGAGTTAGATACGCAATTATGAACTTGCATACCATAGTTTCATTACAATCTACACTGCAGCCATACGTGGTTGAAACATTCCACAGTACTGACAAGAGACAGTTTCTAATGAAGTTACACATAAAAAGCCTGCCCAATGAATGTTCCAATTATAAACATGGATATGTTTAGAAAAGTGAAATGTACTTATTATTGTCATGCGTGGTAGTAAGTCATATATTGCTGTTAATACAAACAATTTTGTTACCAAATACATTTTTTACTGAAAGTATAAGTAATTATCCATTTTGGAGTTTTTTTTTTACTCTTAGTATGCAAGTGCATGCTTGCATGTACACATTTACTGATGATTAAGGCTGTAGGCGAGTAGGCATTTTTTTAGTAATTTATTCCACACGAGTTGACTTCCACACCACATTACAATTAGCCAATTTCTAAGTAATTGCAATTGTGAGGAGTTTACATAACAAATTATAGCAAGACAAGTCAGCAAGCAGAATGCTATACTCAAAAATATCAATATATGAATAATAATATGAATATAGTGAATACATAGTTTATTGTTTTATTTATTGAATATTACCTGTAAATTTACCAAGAATACCTGTATATATATATACACTCTTCGTCATATCATAATTTAACTTCACATGATAATTATACAAGTAAGAAATCTTTGGTTACAGATCACATTGTTTGGGTAAAAACTCTATAGTTTCTATACTATAGTTATCATTTTGTAAATGATGGTTGCGTAGTTTAGTCACAATTTATAACACTTACTAAAAAATTATGTAAATTAATTGGGAAGACTATATCAAAGATAACCATTACATAAGATAGTTATTTAATAACCATCGGACAATTATTTAATTAAAAAAATATACGTATATAAATTCTAATGTATTGCCAATCTATTAAACTGAGATAATCGCCTTTAAAAATTCTCCTTGTTGAAGTAGAAGCGAGCACCAGCCGTATCAACCGAAGAATGTCTGTTGCACAGTTGTCGCAGCGTTGGTGACAGCACTTTCGGTCCGCAGAGGAACACACCGATTTTCGTAGCAGGGTGTGCAGCAGCCATCGCTGAGAAGATCTGCTCCCAGTTGGGACGGCCGTAGTGTGTCTTGTGGCGGAGGTTGGTGACGACGTCGTACACGGCTTCCTCGTGCAGGACAATGTTTCGTGCCTGGTTGGCATCCCAGCCACGAGTTAGATAGATGTTGTAGTCTAAGAACTGCGGCAGTCCCTTTGCCACCATCTGTCGTTCAAGCGACTTCAGGAGATCGGCAAACCACTCGAACGACATTGTGTCGGGGCAGATCCAGTAGAAGTAGACCTTCTCCAACTTCAACTGCACATTTTCGTCGTTGTATTTGTACCAGATCGATTTTAGCACAGAGGCAAATGGCGTAACTCCGATTCCAGCTCCGACGAGCAGTACAACGGGATAATTAAACACATCCTCACTCGCTGTACCAAACGGTCCGTCTATGGCGAGACGTGGTAACTTTTCGGGCTGCTGGTCACTGTCTACTCCACAAGCCATAGCTAAAGCAGATGTCCAGTCTCCAACTATTCGTAGGTGAATACTTATATTCTCATCTTCGGGGCAGGAGGTTAGCGTGAACGGATGCCACTCTAACTGGCTTATCTTTGGACAATGAAGAAACACGTATTGTCCTACTTCTGCGTGGAATCCTGGCTTCTTCAGCAACAGCTCTATAGTGCGTGATGGATGCTTTACCACTTTGTGTATGGTAACTGGTTGGAAACTTCTGTATAACCGGACACATCGCTCAAGTAGGTACAGTGCGAAGGGCCCAACCACCCACTTCCAGGAGGAACCTGACGAACCTTCAAATGTTGGAATTGGGCAGGTAGCTGTGCCCCACCCGCCATCGTACTGATCCCTACAGACGTTTGGGTCGTGAACGTCAATGTTTGTCTGAGCTTTCACTACACCTTGCATACCATGTATGACAATTGCAATATAATATATTACAAACAAGTGATGCGTGAACCAAAAGACTTCAAAGTAAGATCGCCGTATAAAATTGGTGGAGGATGATACCATCAGTACGAGCGCAAGAACCAACACTATTCCGGTAACTCCTGGTATGAACTTGAACAGTGCCTTTATTGCGTCCGAGTTGGGCTCCTTTATGGGATTGGGTCCATCGGGTAAATTTGACAATGTCTGCACCAAGCCGTCGCTGCTGTGGTGTGCCAGTACAAAATGTTCAAAGTTATAGCAATGTGCACCAGTGTGAATGATAGACAGTAAACATATCCAGTACGCAAGGAACCTGTGTACGATAATATTGCGGTCAAGCTGTCTACGCACGCGAGTGCAACATCCACACGTTCCTCTCAGAAACGAAATTAAGTTCCTACAAACTGGCAATAATATAAGCATAGAGTTGACGTTGATGATGTATGCTGATGATCTTGCAAATGGGAGCCCGTGACCGATAAGTACTCGTAGGTATACATATTTGTCTGCCATGTACGACAGGTATGTGTTCACAAACAATGCGATGTTAAGAGCCAGCCATGCTGTAAACAAAATCCACTTCGGCAATTCGTTTAACAACCAATTACCCATGGTGAGAGTACGCGTCTTATCAACTTTTCTTTGCCGAGACTAGCGGAAACGATAGAATTATAGGTGTGTCTGTGTACTTTTACGGCTTCCTGCGTTAAGGCCAAGACACACTACAGCGACAGCGACCGACCGTAACGACAAACGACAAAGTCGCGGCGAC